TCTTCATTGTGGAATGTTTTTGATCGCTCGCACACTCACTTCCGCCATGGTGTTTTTCATCATTATTTGACCTGAACAACTTCCTTTGACCTAATAGGTCATGTCTTTCGTTAACCAATCAAAATGCTGTGTTGTACAGACGAAGTTTTCCAATTATTGACGAAGTAATTATTTCAACGCAATGCGGAAGTGAATTACAGTGATGTTAAAATGCAATCTGATTTCAACAAAAAACAGTGATTTTTTCCCCTAAAGTTGTTGATTCGCAATTTTCAAAAAGTAAACTGAGGGTGGAGGAAGTATTTAAACGTTTCACGGTCACCAACAAGACATGTCGAAGAATAGTTTGCTCGTTCACATCCCATTCACAAAGGTCTCAATGGACACGATTATTCAGAAAAGTAAAACGATGTTCAATGACCATTTTTGGAGTTTCTATAACCACTACTCAAAAAGAATATGGATTAATTACTTCAGTATTGCAACATCGAGATTCATCGTGAGTAAATAACAGAATAGAAAAGGTGCGAAACATGTTTTGTACGTTCGCCGGCCATGCACTCTGAAATTAATGGAGTTTTCTTGTAAAAGCAGGAACCAAACTACTGTACCAATCACCATTATTATGCAATGAAATACACTTTTTAAAAGCATATTTTAATAAATGTCGTCAACGCCCGGTAAAAACCCCCTGGGCTTATACTCGGGAAGGGGCTTATACTCGGGGGAAGTATGGCAACATGTAACAGAAATTACCATGTAACGTGTAACAGAAAATACTGAAGCACAGTCCCCAATGCAATGGTAAGCATTTTGAATCGAAACTTGAATCAAAATGAAAAAAAATTATACCTGACTTATGCATAAAGTTGTAATTTGGTTTTGATGTGTATTTAGCTTTAAAATGAGTGATATTTGCATATCTTTGTGTATACATATATGTGGCATGATGAATGAATTTAAGCATACATGTGAAGTTTGAAAATGATCCATCAAGGCATGTCAGAGATATGGCCAAGGAACAGGCCTCATTTTTCATTAAAAACAAAATCTGACCTCAAAAACAAAATGATTCAATTCTGTGCAATGTATGTACCATGGTTAAACAAAATTTGTCCAATCATATCTGAAAACTGGCTACCAAATTAGATTGGAACCGGACAATCATATCTGAAATCTGGCTACCAAATTAGATTGGAACCGGACCAATCATATCTGAAATCTGGCTACCAAATTAGATTGAAACCGGACCAATCATATCTGAAAACTGGCTACCAAATTAGATTGGAACCGGACCAATCATATCTGAAAACGGGCTACCAAATTAGATTGGAACTGGACCAATCATATCTGAAAACTGGCTACCAAATTAGATTGGAACTGGACAAATCATATCTGAAAACTGGCTACCAAATTAGATTGGAACCGGACAAATCATATCTGAAAACTGGCTACCAAATTAGATTGGAATCGGACCAATCATATCTGAAAACTGGCTACCAAATTAGATTGGAACCGGACAAATCATATCTGAAAAACTGGCTACCAAATTAGATTGGAACCGGACCAATCATATCTGAAAACTGGCTACCAAATTAGATTGGAACCGGACCAATCATATCTGAAAACTGGCTACCAAATTAGATTGGAATTGGACAAATCATATCTGAAAACAGATGCACATGCAAATGTGTTACATGATGCATGTGTAAAGTTTGAACAAAATCAGTGCAGCTATGTTAACAATATGACTCAAAAAACAGCATTTGTTGAAAACAAAATGACCATTAGTCAACCCAAATAGAATCCAATCTGAAAAAAATAAACAACCGAGACACATTTGCAGAATGACAAAAATGCTTGATTTTGATGAATTTTTAGCACTATAATGGTTGCCTTTCAGCCTTCTTGAATAGGATCATGAAATACATGCATGTGCATATGTATGATATGTGTGTGAATGAAATCAGTGTCCCAGGCATGTCTGAAATACAGGTACAAACACAAATACACATGAATGTACAAAGATGAAATCATAAGTTCCTATTTTCAGACTACATCCAAACGGTACAAGCAATGACCATTTTTCCAGGGGGCCCTGATACTCAATCAAATCACACAAATGTATTGTTATACAGTATTTTGCTGTGGACTCATCCAGAATACATATTACAGATTTTGAGACACCTTGAATGTTTTCACCCCTTAAAAACTACACATATGTATTACAATTAACCACATCCTGTGTTACATACGACTTATTTACCACTTCCGTGTCACTGAGAATGTTCTAGAACCGTACTGTGTCTGGGTGGAATATTCTAGATTTTTTTTAGAAACTGGTTGAATAGGTAATATAACACTGTAGGAGGCAATAGAAGGTAATGGAACATTCTAGAAATTTGTAGTAAGTGCCAGACTCATTATGTATGCTGATGTAATAGTCTATTTATAGACAGTGGAGGTATATATAGGGGAGTTGTTCAGCACTGAGTTCAGATCGGAGATCTCGTTGAATTGTGTTGGAGTTTAAGTATCTAGTTATTGGAGGTTTGGAGTTTTACCACGTTATTGTACTTGATGTTTGCAGAGTATAATAATACCAGTACCAGTTGAAACCTCATCTGTTGGCTCCGTGTTCGTATGTTATCGCCGCCAGGGAAGTCTTTATGTTACTGTAGCCATTTTGGTATTTGAACCATAACACCTGTACTATACCAATTACGGTAGTATTACGTTGCGTGTGACATCCTGCCATAAAGTACAACATATCATTTTCTTTGACACTTGTTTCTATGCATTAATATTATCTCAACAAAATTAAACCAAATCTTTGGAATTATTAATAATATAAGATGGTCTTGTATTGCGACCTTTTACAACTAATTGAACAAGAAGAAATTCATTGTTTTAATATTTTTTTAAAACAATGACCAAGCTAAGATTGAAAATTATTAACTGAGAAAAGTGGAATTTGAATCTTTGAGAACTAAAGTCACTTTTTGTTGTTATCTTTCACAAAATAAAACATTTGGTCAAGAATTATCAAAAAAATACATAGAAACAGGTAAAATTTTAAACGTGAAAAATTATGGGTCATTCATCAGTCTAATGTAAATATTAAATTGATAACAAAAATTAATAATGGTGAAGAACTAGGTAATAATATACATGGCCAAATATGTGGGTATATTCTGTCAGTATTCTGTAACTTGATATGTCATAAAAATTCAAATTATTAGCTATTCTTGGTATCGCCTCCGGGGAGGATGTAGTTTAATTTGCATCCAATCAGGCATGAATGACAGTAGCAGTCGATCCTGGTTTGTCAAGCTGTTCTGATCAAAACGTATAAAATCAAACTGTTTTGTAAATATACTAGGAAATTACACACTGTCAAAACAAAATTATCAGCCATAACAATGGCCAAAAGCATTGCAATAAATTCCATAAAAATCAAACACCAATTTTTATTTTCATAATTTATAAAGTTAGATTTATCAGCAATATCTAACTCTGAATAAATTTTCTATATTTTTCTATATACAAGATTAGATCAAGTCCTCATAAGCCAAAAAATAATACAGATATATTGCAGGTGAACAAGAGAATACATTAGCTGAGCACAATACCCACAGGATACCGGTAGTAATCAATACTAGTTATCCCATTAATTATCTTGCCAATTTGTCAATTTACCTAACATGATTTTTACCTAAGGGCAATTTTAAAATGCAGGAAAACAAACAAATTACATGATAAGAGATACTTGGGTTAAGTCTGCATACATGAAATAGTGAGCAAAATAGCAGGCATTCCTTTGTGTCCAAATAAAACTATATTTTATGGAGAGCAGTGAAGTACAGCAAAATGGATTGATGCTCTGCAGCCATATGTCCTACATACGGTAGACTCCAGAAAAGCAGCACAGCTGAATTATTACAAGTTTAACTGAGGATAACTGAGCTCAATATTCTCAAGCTGCTGGTAAATATTCATGGCCCCTCCATCTGTATATTTACTTCTTCCTATCAAAAGATCTGCAATGCTACAAACGCAATTCATGCTGGTAGGCCCACACTTTAGGTATACGACAGCCAGCATAAAGAATAGTGGCCCCAGACTCTGTATGAACATACCCATTCAGAACAATGCTTTGATGTGGTTGCCATAGAACAATTGTAGGTTGTTTGTGATTGGTGAAGAGAAGACCCTTGCAGATTTGCATAAATGAGCCTCAGGGGGTTGGAGTATCTTGTGGATGTTTCTAATTGTGAAGGTTATAGTATGGATACTAGTCAGTGCTACTAATCTCTAGGATATACACAGTGTGGTAGCCAGCATGCTATACGCTCAATTGTTTCAGGTATGTTCAACAACTTCTGTTAAAATCAAGCCATTTTCAAAATCATTTTCCTTTTGTGAATCACAGATTTCCATGTCATCCGACAATGCTAGCAATGCTGGGAAGGAAAAAGTATGGTGGCAAGGGAAAAGTGAAAATTCACAAATAAATTAATCTTGACTGCCCGAGGCATGGTGTCGGGTTGAGCGGTTTAAATTACTACGACCACATTCAGATAACAAAATACTGTGATAAAAATATACCATAGACAGTGCACAGTCGCTGCCATCTTTAAAAAAAACAATCATCAATCAAGCAAATTATTAATATTAATATTTGACACTGTCAATGTTTGCACTGTGCACAATAGATGCTGAATAGAAGGAGAGAAATGGAGACTTTCCAATTTAATAAAATATCCAAAGCCTGTCATTACTGAATTAGATTAGTTAAATGTAATGTGGTAAGAAAACAGTGAATTTTCTCTGCATGTTAAAATTTTGTTTGTTTTTTTCTAATGTTGTGAGCATAACTAGAGAAGTAGCCCCGTGACTCTTCAGGGAGCCCCTAAAACTGATCAGTGCTCTTATTTGTTTAATGAGGCAGTCAGCGGGGCACATGTTTCTGCCCACTGGCATTCAACTCATCCGCCTACCTTGTATACACAAACAGGGTCCCTTCAACTTCAGTTTTCTCCTGAAAAATAACCAGAGAAGAAAAGAAAAACATCATTTATAATGAACGAACACTGTAATATTTTATTTTCTCTACATGTTTATATTCAACTGACATGTATACCATCACTCTGCTCCATGGGATGACCTTGAAGCTTACATTAAATGATTATTATTTTATGTCAGTGGAAATACTGATGAAAAGACATCTCCCATTGTGCCTGGCCAGGCATTTGGGCAGATTCCATTAACAAAGCCTCTTGCAAATTGATTAGGAAAAAAGAAGCGACACTGAAAGCTAAAAATGGATGGTGGATGGATTAATACAGTCAATGAGGAAATAAAGTGGGTCTCAATGAAGTAGCTAAAATGCAATTTGTATTATTACAAGTATACTTTAATAAAATGTAATGAGACAAATTGGCTACAATTTTAATGTTCTCAACATATAAGATTTTTTAAATTTTTAAAAGCAATTGAACATGAATTCCATGAATTTATTCACCACTCATCCAAAAAGGCAAGATATTGGAACAGAAAGAAAGCATGCAGACACAGTGAAATATATGATATAATCAACGCAGTGTGTGGTGAGCTGATCATGGTATTGATTCACACACTACAATGGTTGCATCATGTAGAGATTAATTTGAATATATAAACCACTGTCAGATAATGATCTCTCGGCACTTAAATACTATATATTTTAAAATATATTTGTTAGTTACTCACTTTTAATTTATAATCAAAAATTTTTTTTATGTAATTTGAATCAACTAAAACTGCAGCAACAGTGAAGTATAGATGTTATAACCAGTCTTTGCCACCACTTGTATTTTATCTGAGTGGGCACTATTTCATTCAACTTTTCATATTTGTTTCTAATAATCATACTGATTTTAAAGTGACACTGTGAAAAATTAAAATTTGGATATGCTGTATTAATGATAAGAATGAAAAGTATAGCATAATTACATTATTTTTAATACTATTTATGTTAAGTATGATATACAGTCACCTGCCCATCACAGAAAATGAATAACAATAAAAAATAAGATCATCAATGTTTAGCCTGAAAAATACACAAAAATAGATTGAGGATAAATTTCACTTTCTTTGTGAATGCTGCCTACATGAAGACTACATGGATTTAGCCATGTTGGGCTAAACTAGAGCTGGGTAATATGATGATACTCAAGTAGCATGCTCCTAATTGAAATTTCTTTATTTATCATCAAAGTCCATTACGAATATTACCACTGTAAAACAATTATAATGCAAAATTACTGCTGCACCTAAAACAATAGAAAAAAATTTGCAATAATATTGAAATGTACAAAAATTGATGCCAAGAAAACCACAAAGGAGATGACAATAACAAAATTTAAATATTGAAGGAATCCTGTATCAATACACAGAAATTAATGCATTCCAATTACAAATAATGCTCATCATTTTACGAAACCACTCAGGGATTGCTATCCTGATGAAACAAGCCATATACGTAGAGATCCTTTGGGAATACTCAAACATACTGGTTTTTTGTACCATACAGGCGATATAACCATCAAGGAGGACTGATGTTAGCCAAACGTTGTGGAAACTATGGTTACCATGGAAACCTCTTTCCATGGTATTTACAGAAAAGTCACTAGAAAGGATGAAGCTAAACAGATTGCATTTATCTTTGTATGTGTTCAGTAATCAGTGCATAATGAGTAGAAACCATAAAATGATATGAAAATCGTAATGTAGGTCAGTAGCAAACCAGGGACAATATGGAGTCTCATCTCAACAACCACACACAACAATATATTCAAAGCTGATTCGCTTTTATATCAACTTAGCAAGGACAAAGCATTTACAAGGTTGAGATGAAAAGACGGGTATTTGATAAGTCAGATGGATACACCTGATATCAGGATTTCATCCATGTCATAATTTGCATACTGATAATAGTCATTAATCAGTAAGCAGATGAGCTTTAAGCAACTCAACAATGACATAGAGCTTTGACATTTATCATAGTATTAGGAAACACAGTCACTGTCTGTTAAAGGGGAACTGCTCAATCCTCTGGATTGCACCACCATCCCTCAACACTATTGTTTATGTTGTTTACAATGTTAATCTATCTTTTGTTATCCATTGTTATTTTAATCCAGAAAGTAAATTTGTTATGAGGTTAGGCTTAACTGGAAGGTGTTGCTTTAACTTTATGCTATAAACACAATATATGTATATTTTCATCCTGTTATGTCCAAGCAATAGAGCAATACTTTGACACAGATGTGAATGACCACATACACCAGCTGTTGTAGACATGAGATTTTATTGTACAGAATTATATTTATTTCACATTTTGTTAAATGAATAACAGTGCTTGAACTTTACAGTTGAGAGGCCACTCATTTTCAAGGCAAAATTTTATAAATTTCCTTTTCTTTTAAAGGCAATTGGTGTAGCATAAATTACAACATGTTTGAAATCAGACACTGTCTGTAAAAGATAAAAGTGAAAAACTAGTCAAGACACTGATTGTGCATTAAGTGTTTTATATCCAGACAAGGCTATAAATAATTCATATTAATTAAACTTAAATAAACAAATCATTTTTTTCAAATAATTGATTGTCTTTTAATTGAGCAAACATTAATTAAAAAAATAAAATAAAACAACGAGTTAATAATATTTTGCATAACATTTGATAAGACATACACTGACTGTAATACTTTTAATTTGTATTTGTGTTTTTATTCTAGCATAGTAGTCAAAGATCAAAAAGTACAATTCTATTAGAATACAATCATAAAAGGTACATATTTTGTGTTTTGGAATAATTGTCAATACAAGTAAACTATGCTTAATACTATAGTCACATGCACAAATAAAAATCAGATATTTATAATGCATACATTCAAATGAAAAAATTAGAGAGAAATAGAAGGTAAAACTGAGCAAATTGGAGATATGGACATCTTAAGAAAACAAATATCATAAATATGCGAGAGATTAGAACATAAAATCAATTGTGCTAGAAGTGACTTGGTTGCACTGAGGTCTTCAATGACCTTGCCTAATAGACCACACACACAAGTGACTGTCTATGTTCACTGGTAATGACAATTTAAAGCTCTCTGCAGCCAGGTCTGCTGAACCCAATTATCAAACATGAACTACAATTGCACATAGTTGGTGGGTGGGCGTATTCCTGAATGAATAATAAATGAGATTTAAAGTTCACAACTTGTCTTCAGTAACAGTCAGACACTAATATTGAGCAATTGAAACCTATTAATTACTTAGCTGACAGAATGATGTACCAACCATTCATGTAAACCATTCACACAAATAGATTATAATGAATACCAAATAATTCTAATATTTATGAAGATTCTTTTTTTAGTTTAGCATCTATCAAATATCACTAAATTACTAAATGTAGTGAAACCCTTCCTGATATGTATATACATGTACATGTACCATTAAAGTCAGTATAGAATAAATGTATATACAAACTACTGTAAACATATTGAAAAAGCAGCATGCAATTTTAGCGAATTGTGGTAAAATGGCGTAATATCGAAATGTTGATTTAGCGAACCTATCTTGTCATTGTTGATTTCTTTGTTCGGCGGCCATTTTGAATTTATAATAAAGTCATTAGCGACATCATGAATTAGCGTATCAGTTCTCTCTCTAAATTCGCGAAAAAGACATGCTCGCGAAAAAGACACGTTTTACAGTATACAGGCATTATACGTTACCCTAATATGTAGTAGAAATGTGATTTAGTTTAATTTAAATTAAATGGGTACTAAGATTACAGTAACTAGGCAAACTAACAATAAATTTCAAATGAATTGCAACAAGATGTTGCACAAACTGACAATACATGGCATAAGAACTTGCTTATAGAGCTTATCGCGGCAGCATTTCAAGGTTTAGATCATGAAGCAGTTTGCAGCCAAGCATGAATGCAAAATTTACACAAGGACATTTGAATTGACGTTAAGTAGAATTTCTTGAGCCAAGCATCAAGAAAAAAATATAGCAATAAATATCCCAGTATACTGTAAAGTAGCTGATGTGGTATGATAACATAATACTAGGGTATATATCAATCACAAGTAGTAATGTTGATATTAATCCTACTGGAAGCGAGTAGCATATACTATAACCCTTAACTTTTTCAACCTTACAGTGAGATTTCCTGTATGATATATTTATGGACTTGCTATTGAAATCCACTGTTATACAATGACAATCATTTGAGAAAACCAAAAACATGTTAGTTTATAATAAATGTAAAACTGTGTACTACAAAAAATATTCATAATCAGCTAAATGCTGTCACATGTTTTTGTAAATACAGTTAATCCAGATTATGTACAAAAATAAAACTGTACATGTACATTTTAAATAAAGCACATAAAGTACGCAGACACAGCAATACAGCCAGGATACACAACTTTCAACAAATATCACCAAGTAAAATAAAACCATTGATGCTACACAGTAAATGATACCACACTCAAACATGCATTTTTATGTACCATCAAAAAACATTTGAATAATTAATTTTAAAACATAGGCAAACTACTATAGCCTTACCCTTCAGTCAGGTAATATAAAGCACAGGATAGTTACAAATATTAGGGTTTAAAATATAGTTTTGATCCAAATGCAAGGTGTATCAGTTTTGAATAAATCACATGCAAACTTTTTTTTTAGTTAAGCTCACAAAAAACCAGCAAATTTTTGACTGCATTTTTTGAGTAAAAATCTGAGACTACAAAAACACCGATTTTTGTCAGAAAGCAACATTTACTTCAAAACTCAATCACTTACGATATGATTATAAAACACAAACAGCTTACAAATATGACTGATATAGCGTGATAGAAAATTTAGTACATGAATAGGTAGAAAACAAATGATCTGTTACCCATTACACCTTTTAACAAGCAGCCTGTCGGCTGAAATAGCTCTGCTGTTAGCAATGCACATTGCAATTAAAGA